AAAATCTCAAAAATTTTAAAATATTAATTAATTAATTATTAAAAAATTTATATTAAACATTAAAAAATAATCATACACACTTTTATTTTTCTTAAATTGTCTACTGCATTATTAAAATAAAATTTTAAAAACCAATTTTTAGTAAAAAAACATTTTTTTTTGGGGAAAATACGACTTTATTATCAAAATCACCAAAATTTACACAAGACAGTTCTTTTGGTTAAAGCTACTACTAATATTAGTACAAAAAATGAAACAACTCGCAAATTATTGTATGTTCAAGTCAAGCCTTAGCTGTACATAAAATTTTTAATCCCATTGAGCTGCAATTCTCCTTGACATGAAAGAAGGCCTTTTCTTTGCTGAACCTAGTACTCTGTTTTTGCACATCCATTTGAATCGTATCACTCTTTTTATTGTTTAGTAAGCAATTAAAAACTTTTTAATTTTTTCTATAAAAACTGAGAGTTTATTCTTAAAATGCAGAGTTTTCCAAAATGTTAAATACAGAAAATTTTATGGTTAAATGCTGCCATCGTTCATGCTGACTAGGAATAAAAAGTCTGATGATGACTTCTATCATAGGGACCAATAATGATTATGGAGAAAAGTAGAAGGACCTATTTGCATATGCATAAAAGTTAGAGGACTTGAATTAACAAAATTTCTTTAAGTATGGCAAAACATTAACTTAAGAGAAAAAGTGCAAATAAAAATGTTGATTTTTCACTTTTTTTATTTAAAAAGGTTAATTTTGTTAATTTTTAAATAAAAATGTAAACTTTTAAATTTTTTTATTTAAAGATGTTAATCTTCAATTTTTTTATTTAAGAAATAATTTGATAATGATGTTGACATAACAAATGAACTTTTTAATTAAAATGTTAAAAATTTGATATTTTTAAATAAAAAAACTTCGTTGATAGAAACTCCAAGCCTTTCAATCTATGTGTTTTTGTAGAAATTAACTTCTTGATTTCAAATCTAGAAGTTGATTTTTAGAAAATTAATTTTAGATTTTCTATTGACTAAATTTTTTTTTCTATTGACTTATTTTCTAAAAAGGTTAACTTATTTTCTAAAACGGTTTCAAACATAAGAAAATGAAGAAAATATTATCAATAAATTTTTTTGGTAAACCAAACACACCCTAATTGTCGATTCTTCCCATAAACCAAACATATAATTTGTCTGCTAGAGCAAACGATAGTTTGTAAAAACATATTATAATAATTAATTAGTTAACTACTTAAGTTACTCATTAATAATAGGATGCTGATTGGTGCACACCCGGTGTTGCACCCCCACATAGAAAAAAAAAAAAGGGACCGGGTGGGGTTGGGTTTTTTTTTTTTTCAATGGGGGAGGGTGTTGACCCGGGTGTGCACATATCTTTATCCTTAATAATATCATTTTTCTTTATAAGCTGTAGTAGTAATATGATTCCTAAAAAAAATAAAAGTTTTTGAAGTCAGGTTATATAATATACGAATAAGATAAGTTAAGATACAAAAGAATATTACTTTTCCTGCAATTCAAAATTAAAAAAGGGAGGGGGGGATTACTCAAGAGAAAAAATGGAAAGAAAAAGGAAAGAAGAGCTTAATGACTAATTACTGAACAGACCAAAGGAGGGAAAGTAGCATTTTTTCCCTCATGTGATAGCACATGCACAAGACATTTTCATGAGCATATATGTACCAAAAGATAATATTCTATTAATAAATTTGAAAGTTCCCGATTTGCATATATCTTTAATGGTTCTTAAAATCTTGAAAGGCTTCGTTTGGAAAAGGAAAAAGAGACATGAAATTTGGGATTGTTTAAGTGGGTAAGAAAATTGCCCATGTGAGTAAAGAAGCATATTTTTAGATGACAAAATTCTTTTTAATTCACAAAAAAAAAAAAAAAAGTGTTAAGCAAATGAAAGAAAAGGGAAAAAAAATTGAGCTTATATTTTATATGAAATTATCTCATTAATTATTATGAAGTTCTTTTTTTTTTTTTTTACACCAACTAGAAGTTAGTATTATTATGAAGTTCAAACTCATGGTAATTTTTCAATTGGCAAGGCCGGGTTTTCAAATGTCGAAACGGTGGTGCCAATAATTATAGAAAGTTAAGATGTGATAGGGTCACCTGTTCCACTATCAAATACACTAATTTTTTTTATTTGCTGATAGAATGTTAACAGGTTAAAATTTTTTTAACAGTTTATAATTTAAGAGGATTGAAGGAGGAAAATTTTTCAAAGTGTTGGTAGGGATTTCAATCTTCACCAACTAAACCAAATGTCTAAAGGTTTGAAGGCAAACCACTTGAATTTGAAAAGTTCTATTTGAATGTTAACAAGTTAAATTTTGTATATATTAAAATTAATTTATATTCAAATGATTTTAAAGGTGTATTCTTATATTAGTTTAATGTATTTAATAAAATTAATTGTTTAACATTTTTATTTTAAAACTTGTAAATTTTAAACTTAATTTATAAAATAATAATTACTTATGATTATTTTTTTATGAACTACTTACATTGAATCTAAACGTAAAAGTAGTACATTACCTCTTCTTTTTTCTTTTTTTTTTTCAAAATTGTAAATGATCATCTTTCTAAGATTCCAATTCTTCCAATTACAAGCCCTTTACCCCACCCGCCTCATCCAAATGTTCCTATTCGACTCTACAAAAGTTCTTAGGTCCCATTTTCATAATTCCATTTTTCCTTTTCTTTTCTTCAACGAGTAATTGACTCTTGCCTTTTCTTATTGGTGATAGAGATAACTCAAGTTCCATCTACCCTTTTCCTTTTGGACGCAAAGGAAACTCAAAATTCCTTTTGTTTTCTTTAAAAGTTATTTAGAAGCATTTTACTTTATTTTATTTAGTTGAAAACAACATGTCATTTTAAAAAGATTCCAAACTTAAGAGAAAATAAAAAGTGATTATAATAAATCGAACTTAAAAAGGAAAAACTCCGCCCCCTTTGTTTTCATTTTAGTGAGGTGAGGAGGCACTATAAGAAAAATGATTTTTAGTGACAGAAATTTATGATAAATTTTGAAATCATCACTATAACTTATCATAATTGTGACAGATCTAAAAAATTAGTCACAGATACATACATATTTAATTATGAACAAAAAAATTCATCATAAAAAATATATTTTATTACTGAAAAATATTTATAAATATAAAATAAGCTTTTGTCGATAAAAATCATCATTATAATGCATTACAATTATGACAAAATTCTAATATTGGTCACATATACCTTACACATTCAATGATGACCAAATAATTTAGCACTAAAAAATATATTTCGTCACTAAAAATTATCAATTTTCTCTAATCAATGCATCCCATATCAATAAAAAACACATAAGAGAATAAGATTTTGCACTATAAATATATCCCACATCGACAAAAAATATTTAAGAAAATAAATTTTTGCACTATAAAACTTGTGAAACTCAATAAAACTTCATATTAGTTTGGGCCTGATTAATTTTAATTGGGCTTGATTAATTTTAATCGGGTTTGATTAATTTTAATCAAAATTGATTAGTATTGAAATAATAATATTTTTTATTAAACTTTTGTGATAAATTTATATATTATTTTTTGTGATAAAATTTATGTTAAAATATTTGTGTTATAATTATATAAATATCGTTTTTATTTAATATCAATTTTAATAATTAATAACTAAATTTTGCATCATAATTGCATTTGTGACGAATGTTTTTTTGTGACGAATAAAATTGTTATAAATAACTTGTTAACAATGTTAATTTTTTTTATCACTATAAAATTATTTTTTATGACAGGTGCTTAATTTGTCATTAAGAGCATTAGTGACAAGGGTTTTACTAACGATTTAAATTTTATCACTAATAATAATTTGTGACGAAAAATAAAGATTTAATGATCAATAATTTAGTCACTAAATGTGAATTTTCTTGTAGTGAGGTTACCTTTCATATGGGCAAAAATCCACTTTTAGTTATTTATCTTAATAAATGGTCAAAACCTCAATTTGGTCCCTGAACTATTGTATGAACCCCCGATTTGATTCATGAACTAAAACAATTTCTAATTTGATCCTTGAACTATTATACGGACCCTTGATTTGGTCTCTACTATTTACTAATTTAGCCTCATGTTGGTCTTTCTGTACAAAAAATAATTGACGTGTTCGTTACTTAACGACAAAAAACAGTAACTTAATGATCATTTGTCATGTTAATAATAAGATACATTAGTTGTTTTTGTCTGGAAGGACCAACTTGGGATAAATTGGTAAATAGTAGGATCAAATTGGAGGTTCATATAATAGTTTAAGGACCAAATTAGGGATTTTTTAAGTTTAGGGACCAAATTGGAGATTTAACCTTAATAAATTTGTAAGTTTTAATCTCTTATCTTGTATTATGAAACTTTTAGTCCCTCACCTCTATAAATTGAAGAAAATAACCCTTACTTAATTATTTAAGGTTATATTATAATGTTTTGTTAGTTTTGTTAGCTGCTTATTAATTTTATAAACTAACTGTTAACTTTATTAATTGATTGTTAGCATTTCGTCAATGGAACTAATAAATAAAATTGAATTTAAATTTTGATATTTTTTATAACGGAATTCTAATAGTTAATTAACAGAGTTAACAGTCAACTAATTATAGAACTAACAGTTAACTAACATAATTAATAAAATGTTATAATTTGACATTAAATAAAAATTATTTTTTTCAATTCATATAGATAAAGGGTTAAAATATCATAATATAAGGTTAAAGATTAAAATTTACAAACTTATTAAAATAAAATGTTAAAACTAGGTTTTTG